CCCTAAAAAAAGAGAATAAAAGGCTGAGGTAAAGTGAGTTCTGCATGCAATGCTGGGCAATGCTGGGCAATGCTAGGCAATATGTTTGCAGATCTGTCTACCTGCCAGCTTGCATCATATCTGTGTGTCTGTCTTTTTTGTATATATTTCATCTCTCTCTTTCTCTATCACTTTCACCACCAGATCTCCCTTCTTTGTGACACCCACACTTCCTTGTCGAGGCGGGACCCAAACGTAGGACCTCGACAAGAAGGTTTTCAATGACTAATGTTTCAGAAATGGTCTGTCTCTCCCTCTTCTTAGTCTATCTAAGGCTTAAACTTCCACTGAAATCTGTCCATCATGTATGTACCTACTTGCATTTAAAATACTGGCAGCATAACTTCCAGCATCACAGCAATACACAAGCCAACACAATATGAAAAACTGACAGATGAGTGGTGGATGTTCTAGTACAGCCCAAACCTATTGCACCACTATGCTGTCAACATACATTCCATGGAGGAAAACAAGCACAAGGTAGAATTTTTCTCTGCACTGGATACTTCTGAAAATCCATCATGCTGCGTGTTACTCAGTTAAAAGTCCTTCCAGTTCCTTACTGATCATAACATTTTCATTCAGATTAGATCAAATCACAATCATTCCATGCACAAATTCAACAAATATCCCTAGTTGCATCTGATATTAACTAGTAATGGCTCACCTCACTCTATATTTTCCTTAGATTTCTTTGTGTTTTTTAATTGTTGAATTCTTGATAAAATGTGCTTTGACTAATCTATGTTTTCCCTGGTGCACAAAGTGGGGTATATGAGAATGATGGTCTTACTGATGATATTTATATTCCAGTCTCCAGCCCTCCAGCCTCAGAGATCTTTTTCCTAAGGAACAAGGTGATTGAACAACTGATACAAACAAAATTAGACTATATACTAGATTAAATCAGATAGGGAAGAATGGATGCTAAACACAGTCCTCATTTTACAAGTTCTGGTGTGATGCTGTAGGATAAGCGTTCAAGGGTAAGGTCAGTTTGAACTGCAAGGTTGGTAGTTCAAACCCACCACTCCTCGGAAACCCTATACAGGATCACTATGAGTCAGAACCAATTTGACAGTACTTAACAGCAACAACAACAACAACAACAGCAACAACTTACAGACAACTCTTACTTGCCCTTTAATGTTAAATAAATTTGCTCTCACTTTGAAATTACTACTTGTTATAAATGATTCACAATCTCCTTCATTTGCTATATGTGCATATTTTAAATTATTTAAAAGGCTATAAATCCATCTTTGCGCTTAATTCTCACTGCCATTGCATCCATTCCAATTCATAGCAATCCTACAGGACAGAGTGGAACTGTTCCATAGGGTTTCTGAGACTATTAATATTTACCAAAGCAGCCCCCAGTGGTGCGCTGCCCTGCTGTCTGGCCGGGCTTACTTGCCCGCCGAGCTACCGATCCGGGAAAGAGCGCCCAGCCTTGTTGCTCGCCATGTCTGGCTCTTCTAGCGTCTCCGCTATGAAAAAGGTGGTTCCGCAGCTCCGGCTGCAGGCCGGGCTCAACCGCGTGAAAGTTTCCCAGGCAGCTGCAGATATGAAACAATTCTGTCTGCAGACTGCTCAACATGACCCCTTGCTGACTGGAGTATCATCAAGCACAAATCCCTTTAGACCCCAGAAAGTATGTTCATTTTTGTAGTAAAACGAATCTTTCAAAGGTTCCCTAAACCACTTTCCATGAACCAGTGAATATTCAAACGAGAGCTAAATTTTGAAACCTGTATAAAAACTTGCCTCCAAATACATGTGCCATACTATACAAATTTCTACTTTTGTCAATCCTTAACATCTACCTCTCAGAATTTTCATGAATTTCTGTTTCACAAGGGTAACTATTTTATATACACTGGCATCTGCATATAATAAAAGACTTAGTATAAATATATATATACTTACCAAAGCAGACTGTCTCATCTTTATCTAGTGAAGTAGCTGGTGAGATCTAATTGTCTATGTTTTGTGTAGAAGCCCAATGCTTAAACTGCTGCCCCACTAGGAATCTTTGCACTAGAGTAAGACCAAATAAAAACCATATTCACCTGGTCTGACTTACCTGCAAATTATATTTAAAACACGTAGGATAAGATCTCATTCATAATCCAGGGAGAACTGCCAATATTTATGTATGTACACAAATGGCAGATATTAATTAGGATGAGACAAGATGTCAAATAAGAGGGATACTCTGAATATTGAGTCATATTAAAATGCTTGTACAGTAGAAATATGTGATATTAAAGTTAAGGCATGTCATAGTGGGCAAACGTTGTCAGATAGTTGGGTTACTGCCACACTTGAGCTAAGATTAAATGATATATGATTACTAAAGATAGGAGTAGGTATGATTGTTTGGGAAAATGCATTTTTCCAATTCCCTCTCTCATGATGAATATCTTTTAAAGTAATAAAAATACCACAACATCCATGTATTTTCTTTTTCAATATCCAGTAGAGAAATTTCTATCTTTATTTTTTACCCCTTTGCTATGTGCATAACTTATCAAAATCAACTCTTTACTATTTCATGTGGAACATATAGATGTCAATGAATGTCATAATAATAAAAACAAACGATGCATATCTTCTCTTATGTTTTAATAAAAAATATCTTTATACAGGGTGAATATTGAACATATGGAGATAAAAATGCATTCAATTTTCTTGCAAGATAGCGAGTGATTTATTAAATATTATACAAAGTGGAGATGTGCCAAATTTCTCTCAAAACTCTGATAGATTTTTAATATCAAAAACAATGATATTATATCTCTGCCTGAAAATTGCTCAAGGTCTCATCATATAAATATTAATTTTAAGGTGTTCTGTCAGGCATTGAGATAAAAGCACACTTAAAAAATTGAAAATCCTTGTCCTAAAAATAGTGGGCATTTAACCGAGTGGTAAAAGTTAGAGTAGAGATCCCAAACTAGTCATTGTACCAGATTTTAGAGAACCCAGATTGCTGCTAAATGTGGCATCTTAAAGAAAAATGAGTCATATAGAGATGGATAATTAAAGCCTCAAGATGGATTCATCATAACAGAAAACAGAGAATCATAGTTACAAAGAGAAATCTGAAGAAGGCTATTATTAGTGAAAAGAAAGCACCCCTCTGTCAATCGTATGTCCCTTGTTACTCTTTGTTGTTGTCCTTAAGTGATATCAAGTCAGTTTTGACTTATTGGGAGCCAACGCACAATAGAATGAAACATCTCCAAGTCCTGGGCCACTCATACAATCATCATGTTTGAGGTCTTTGTTGCTGCCAATCTAGCTTATTGGGAGATCTTTCTCTTTTTCACTAACCCTCCACTTTACCAAATAAGATATTCTTCTTGAGGATCTGTTCCTCCTGATCACAAGTCCAATGTACTAGAGTCAAAGTCCCTACGTTGTCTTTTCTCAGGGGCAACCTCATTGCACTTCTTCCAAGACAGATTTGCTTCTTCTTCTGACAGTGCATAGTACATTCAGTATTCTTAACCAACAAAATAATTCAAATGCATAGATTTGTCTACAGTCTTATGTATTCATTGTCCAACTTTCACATGCATATGGGGACATTGAACAAAAACATGGTTTAGGTTAGGCACACCTTAGCCCTCAAAGTGATTTCTTTACTCTTTAACAGTATAAAGAGGCCTTTTGAAGCAGAGTTGCCTAATGTAATACTTCTTTAATTGATAGACTGTTGCTTCTATGAGCATCTATTGTGGATCCAGGCAAAATGAAGTATTTGACAACTTCAATCTTTTCTCCATTTATCTTGATGTTATTGATTGGTCCAGTTGTGAGGATTTTTGTTTTCTTTACATTGAGGTGCAACACGTACTAAACCTTCCATACTGATCTTCATCAATAAATATTTTAAGTCCTCTTCATTTTTAGCAAGCAAAGTTATGTCATTTGCATATCACAGGTTGTTAATGAGTTTTCCTCCAATCTTGATGCCGTGTCCTTCTCTTCATATAATCCAGATTCTCAGAATAAGTATGGGAAAATGTTACAATCCTGCTGCACATCCTTACTGATTTTAAACAGTGCATTATCCCCTTGTTCTGTTCAAAGAATTGATTCTTGCTCTATAAACAGGTTCCTCATAAACACAATTAAGTATTCTGGATTTCCCATTCTTCACAATGTCATCCATAGTCTGTTTTGATCCTCAAATTGAATGTCTTTTCATAGTCAATAAAGCACAAGTAAACATGTTTCTGGTATTCTCTGCTTTTACCCAAGATCCTTGTGACACAATTACCCAAAAAGCTAAATTGAGGACAGTGGCATATATTCTCAACCTGCATGATTAGATCTCTCAGGTACAAACAGAGTATGGAAAATACAAATGGGCCCTGGAAATGGATAAGAATTTTAAACACATAAAAAGAGATTTGTTCATTTCTCCAGAATGCCAGAGTCATTTATGAGAAACTACAGAAGGCTTTGTAGGTCAATAAGATTCAGTCATGCAGTGATTATGACATATGAAGGGTCCCAGAATACTCCCCTAATTGCATTTAAAGCTTTTAATTTATTATTTGAAAAAGTAATATTCACATATGAAACAAAGAAGAATGAAAACTACCAAAATGATGCAACTTGGTACGCAATATTTGCATCCTAGGTGTTTGATTTTTCTGCCTTTTCCAATGCACACAACAAAAAAGAAGACATGGCTACTAAGATTAAGCAGTTCTTCTGAGAAGCCTCCACAGGGCTTTCTTGATATCCCTATTTCTTAGGCTATAGATGAAGGGGTTCAACATGGGAGTGATCACAGTGTACATCACTGAAGCCACAGCACCTTTCCTTGGGGAAGATGAGACAGCTGAACTTAAGTACACTCCAAGGCCTGTTCCATAAAATAAGCAAACAACTGACAGGTGAGAGCCACAGGTGGAAAAAGCTTTATACTTCCCACCTGATGATGAGACTCTCAAAACAGAGGAAAATATTTTAGAATAAGAGAAAAGGATCCCTGAAATTGGAAGAAAGCCAGACAAGGCACCAACAATATACATTACTATGTTATTGGTGAATGCATCAGAACAAGCAAGACTGAGGAGCTGAGAAGGGTCACAGAAGAAATGAGCAATTTCCACATCCTTGAAATAGGTAACTTGTAACACTATCGAATTGTGCAGCTGGGAGACCAAAAGGCTGATGAAAATGGACACCAAAACCAGCAATCCACACAGGCGGGGGTTCATGATGACCCTGTAGTGCAGGGGGTGACAAATGGCCACAAACCGGTCATAGGCCATTGCAGTCAGGAGCAGACTATCCAAACATCCAAAGAGCATAAAAAAAGACATCTGAGTCAGGCATCCTCCGTAGGAGATGACTCTGCTGTGAGTTTGAATGTCTACAATCAGCTTTGGTACTGTGGTGGAGGTGAAACCAATGTCAGTCAAAGACAGATTTGAAAGGAAGAAATACATCGGGGTGTGAAGGTGGGGGTCAGAGCTGACAGTCAGGATGATGAGCAGGTTTCCAAGCACAGTGACCAGATACATGAACAGGAACATCCCAAAGAGGAGGGGCTGCAGTCCTGGATCCTCGGAGAGACCCAACAGGAGGAATTCTGAGACACGTGTTAGATTCTGTGGTTCCATGTGGCTGAGACAACTTTTAGAAAAGAAAAAAGAGTTGGAAAACAGGAAACAAGTAAAAAATCACTAGGTGCTTGTCCTCATTTTGAATTCAAGAAATTCATAAGTATTCATATTTGAGGACCATACACCCCAACATCTTTACCAATGTTGCTCAGTTGTGGCAAACGCATTCTTCTTAAAAGTGTTTCCTATTTAGTGTGCTACTCACCCACTTTAGATAAACAAGACAATGAATATCATTAATTATATATACAGCCCTCTTTTGAATAGAGAAAATAATTATTAAATGTGCTTCTCCCTTTAAGAAAAAAAATCATACTCATTGAAGGATCCTTGTTGGTAGCTGGCCTCAAGTTGATTTCAAATCATAGCAACACTATGTACAAAAGAGCAAAACACTGCAAGATCCTGCATCTTCCTTACAACCTTTACTGTGTTTAAGCTCATTGTCACAGCCCCTGTGTGATTCTATCTCACTGACCTTCTGCTTGGTTGTTCTTCCGATTCATAGTGACACTGTATAGGGTTTCCAAGGAGTGGCTGGTGAATCTGAACTGCTAACTTTGTTGTTCAAAACAACCTTAAAGTCAGGTACTTATCCTATAGCACCACACCAGGCTCTTCTACTTTTAGCAAGCATGGTATCTTTCTCCATGGATTGTTCCCTCTTGGCATCTCTCTTGTAAGGAGAATTCTGGCTGTACTTCTGCTAAGACAGATTTGCTTGTTCTGTCATGTCATTGTATATTCACTATTCTTCACCTATACTGTAATCTAAAGGTATCAGTTCTTTGGTTTTCCGTATTTATTGTCTGGTAAGCACTGCGAGATAATGTTCTGGAACTATATGAAGAAGGATGTGACTTCAGGTTTGGAGGAAAACTCATTAAAAACCTGTGATATGTACATGACACAACTTGCTAGCTGAAAGCAAGGAAGATTTGAAGCACTTACTGATTAAGATCAAAGAATACAGCCTTTGATACGGGTTACAACTCAATGTAAACAGAACACATTTCCTCACAACTGGACCAATAAATAACATCAATGCTAAATGGAGAAAAGATTGGAGTTGTAAAGGATTTCATTTTACTTAAATCTAAAATCAAAGCTCATGGAAGCAACAGTCAAGAAATCAAATGATGTATAGAATTGGAAACTCTGCTGTAAAAAAACTCTTTAAATATTAAAATGTTTTCGATATTAAAGAGCAATGATGTCACTTTCAGGACTAAGTTGTGCCTAATGTAAACGAGGGTATTTTCAGTCACCTCAGATGCATGTGAAAGCTGGTCAATAAGTAGAGATCTGAGAAGAATTGGTACAATTAAAAGACGGTGTTGATGAAGAATATTGAATGAATATAACATGGACTGCTAAAAGAATGAATAAATCTGTCTTAGAAGAAATACATTCTGAATGCTCCTTAGAAGTATGACAAAATTTTGTCTCACATACCTTGGACATATTATCAGAAGTGTCTAGAGAAGTAAGACAAAACTTTGTCTCACATACTTTGGACATATTATCAGGAGTCTCTAGGGAAGGACATAATGCTTGGTTAAAAAGAGGGTCCTGCAAGATGGTGAAACAAGATGGATTGATACAATGGCTGCAACAATGGACTCAAACATTATAACAATTGTGGTGATTGTGCAGAACCTGGTGGTGTTTCTTTATGTTTCCTATGACCAGGAATCTACCCAACAGCACCTATCAAAAACAATGACATTTTTCATTTCTTGTAGGATTTTTTTTACATCAACCCTACATCATTTCACCAAAACAACTGGTGCTTGACATGATTTTGGTTTGGTTTTACTTTCAGTCTCCATCTCGTGGCAGTGGTGGTTGTGTGCCACCAAGTCAGTTCCAACTCATAGAGACCCTGTATAAGGTTTCTGAGGCTATAAATCTTTACTGGAGCAGAAAATCTCATCTTTCTCCCACAAAGTAGATGCTAGATTCAAACTACTGACCTTGTGGTTAACAGACCAGTATATAATCCATTACACTATTGGGGCTCCTTTCATAGTGGATTGGTAAAATTACATGTGTTTCTTTTTCTTTTGCACATATTTTGGTAAATATATTTATGGCAAAACATGTGCCCTTTCATCATTCTTCACATGTATAATTCAGAGATATTTATTTTGTCTATAATTCTCCTAAATGTGTTTTAATCTTAAACATTTAGGAAGCATTGTTTCTTCATTATGTCTCACCCACTTTTTTGCAGTTGAGGCATGGTTCAAGGCCAGGAGAGATCACAAAGCAAGGTCTGAAACCTCACTTTCTTATACTTAGCTAAAAAATTTTTCTAATCAATCCTTCCTTTTAGAGGAATTTCAACTTTCCTAAGTTCAACACCCTTAAGCAATTGGGATCTTCATTTCTCTTGTCAGGTGGCAGTATGATTTAATTTGGAACAAAAAAATGCAAAAGTGAAAAGAATCATGCATAGTATAACGAAAACCTGGGGAATTTCCTCATTTTAAAATGAAAGCAATAAATCTACTTTCTAGAGTTATTGTAAAAAATTAAATTAAACACAAAGTGCATAGACTGATGCTTCTCAATCCTTATGGATCATTACAGTTACCTCTGGGTATTTTAAAATACAATGATACCCTATCCATAACCTAGAAATAATTGAATAATAATCTCAGCATGTGAAATTCTTACTGCTCCTAGCTTACAGCCCATTTTGAGGAATGTTGCCATAGAATATGGTCAAGCACTTAGTAAATGCCCATTAATATTACATATGACCATCTATGCTCACTACCAATTTATAAATATAAAAATTAATATTTTCAGAATATTTCATAACAATTTGAAATATGACAGTTCAAAATGATTTTTCTTGATATCCCTCCCCAAAGACAATCATTTTTATTAATTTTGTGGGTCATTTTCCTGACAATGCTATTGTAGTATTGGCTCATACATAACAAGTTTTTAAAAAGATTTCTTAAGTAGTATCATACTTGGCATATGCCACCCCAAGATACTGCCATTTACCACAACATTGTGTTTTAAGTCTCTCTGTGAAGTACATTCATCTAGCTAAAATCTAGTTTGACTGATGCATGATATTACATGAGGAATGGACTTTATTTTATAAATCTCTTTATTATGACAATCTTATGAAAACTCTTGTGCCTCTCATATTCACATAAATGAGAATTTATATAAGATATATGCCTGGAGAATAACTTTTTTTAATGTTAGCAACAGATGAATGCTTAATTTTACCATTAATTGCTTTCATTTGTGGTCCCAAAAGAAACTGTGTTAATATCAATCAACTACATCCTTTTCTTTTTAAGGTATATAATCAAAAATATACCTGAATTCTGTCTAGTAATGGCCATTTCATTATTTCTCCAAATGTTCATCTAGTATCGGGAACAATGCTTAAGTATCATATATCCAAGTTGTATCTTAAATTTAATTACTAGTCATAGAAAACTCCATAATTCTCAATATTCATTCCCCCAAAACTTCCTATAAACTACTGGCTCATTCATAAATTCACAAATGAAGTCACTAAGTCCCAAGAAAAGCAATATATATCTCTGCCTCAGTTTGCTAATTTGAGACAAAACAGATTTAAAAGAAAAATATTTATTCAGTTTTGGTAGAAGGCACAGAGCCCTTAGGAGTCAAAAGACAAAGGTTTGAGTTTTATATCTTTTGTCTACTACATGCACAGTGTGTTTAAATTTCTCTGTATTTCTTATCTGGAAATGTAGAAGATTAGCACCCATCTCTAGGACCTGTGGAGTCCTTGTATAGTGCTGTTAGATAAGTGCTGGACTGCTAACCACAAGGTTGGTGGTTCATACACACCAGCTACTCCTTGGAAACACTATACAGGGTCATTATGGGTCAGAACTGACTCAACGGCACTTAACAATAACAAATGGGACTTGTATCACCTTGTATTACATTTATGGGAGATTTGGAACCTAATAACTTTTCTGTTATTATTTTTAATGACAATTTTATTATTATTGTAACAGTGGTTTTTTTTATGAAATATAATCTTGACAAAACTTTCACTCAATTATATGACCCAGAGATGTAAATCTGTGCACTGAAGCACAGAATGTCTTCTTGTTGCTATTTAGTGCTACTGAGTCAGTTCTGACTCATAGTGACCCTATATCGGGTTTCCAAAGAATGACTCATAGGTTTACACCACCAACCTTGCAGTTCAAACTGACCTTGTGGTCCAGTGTCTTATCCTGCAGAGCTACACTAGAAATCCTAAAATGTGTCTCATTTCATAGAGTAAGATTTGTCTGCCCCTTCTCTTTCTACCTCAGTTTTCTTTATTTATAAAATCTCAACTTTTTATAATAAATATTGTGCATCCTTTGAATAGAAAATAACAGATCCCATAGAAAGTCCATGACATGGAAACAAAAAAAAGCACTCTTTTATCTTGTCTGAAGTCCTATGGGACATCCTTGAAAAGGACAAAAGCACAGGCAAGAAAGCACTCAGTGACTCAGTGTATGGAAGTCATACTAACTATGCCCTGATCATGTGAACTGATGAAGGGTCTATTGAACATTCAGCATAGACTTTCATTATTTGTGTTGCCTATTTGGTGAAAAACAGTACTGACTCTAGAAAAATCACAAATGAATGGGAGCCAGTCATTTTCCTCCAGTACTCAAGAAGAAGTATCGATTTGTATAAGGACAAAATACAATAATCCACTGAAAAATCAAACCTTCAAGTCACAAATTATTCAAGTCATATGATGTGATATTTAATCTTATCCCTATTAATAATATCTAAAATATATTTTGACACAACTATATACCTCCATCTCTTAATAAATCCCATATGAAAGATCATTATCTATTAAATCTTACTCAATGCAGTTGTATCAACTAAGGATCCATTCATATGACAACCCAAGGTTACTAAGAACTTTCCCATGTCATACAGATAGTAACTAGTCATACAGGCAATATTCAACA